GGGAGCGATGGGGTAGGGCCTTTTAGGTAGGGTAATTGTAGAAGGCCTTTTTGACAAGGTGATGTTGACGAAAGATCTAAATCATAAAGAGACAACCATGCACATATCTGGCAGAAAAATATTCCAAGTTAAAAAAAAAAACTCCAATGACCCTAAGATGATACTATGCTTGTCATGTTTAAGGAACAGGAAGAAGGCTGTTGAAACCAGGCCCTAAAGTCAAAGAGAAGCTCCAAGTATGGTAAGAAGTCTGGATTATATTCTGAAGATATTAAGAAGTTAATAGAATGTTAAACAAGGAGTAAATAAATCTGATTATTGCTTTCGGAAGACCATTCTGGGTGTTCTGTGATGAACAGCAGTAAGAGGGCAGGAAGTAGCAGGGAGACTACGTTTGAACCTATTGTAGTTCAGATGGAAGATGAGGGTAGCCTGGAAAAGTGTTTTAGTAGCAGAGGTGGTGAGAAGTGATGAGATTTGGGAAATCTCGGATGCTGATTAGAAGGGTTTACTGACTGATGTGGATATGGGAGTAACAGAGAGAAGAGTAAGAATAACTTTTTTAAAAAAAACTTTATTCTGGATCAACAAAAGCAGATTTGCTGGGAAAAAAAACAAAAGCTTCTTTTTAGCCAAATTAAGTTTCAGATGTGTGTCAGAAGCACAAATAATGTCAAGGAAGCAAAATGATATATATATTTAGCATTTACGGGAGAGAATTAGGCTGGGACAGGTGGAGATCACCTACAGAGTATACACAGATACCTGTGAAGATAGGGTTGAAGACTGAGCCTTGCAGCACTTCAGCATTTAGACATCGTTAGAAGAGAAAGAAGCAGTAGGGTGGGTAAATAAAAACAAAAACAAACCAAAGAATATGGTGCCACAAGATCCCAGATAGTACTTCAAGAATGAAGGAGTGGTCAACCAAGAAGCCAAGTTAGATGAGAACAGAGAATTTACTACTGGCCTCTTCAATATGTGAATTATTGGTTGGTTTTAAGATCTCTTTTAAAATTGTGAGGGCAAAAGTATATTGGAGAGAAGAGAATGAGAGGTGAGGAAATGAAGGCAGAGAGAAAATGGAAGCTGTGAGCTTTTCTGTGTAAGGGAATAGTGAAATGGTGTGGTAGCCAGAGAGGAAATTTTTTCAAAAGGAGTTGTTTTGTTTGGTCTGATTTGTAATGGGTGTTATTAGACTAAAACCCACTGCTGTCGAGTAGATTCCGACTCATGGCGACCCTATAGGACAGAGGAGAACTGCCCCATAGGGTTTCCAAGGAGCAGCTGGTGAATTTGAACTGCCAACCTTTTGGTTAGCAGCCAAGCTCTTAACCACTATGCCACCAGGACTCTGTCATTAGACTAGTGTAATGCTAATATTTATAATCTAACAGAGGAGGATATATTGATGACATAGGAGGAAGAGGAGCTATTTAGAGAAGGAAAATTCTTGGGAAGGTGCAAATGAATGGGATCCAGGACACAGGTAGTGACTGGCTTTAGATTATGTATTGGGACCATTATTCTATTGTAACGGAAAAGATGGCAGGAAAAATGAAAACAGATGCAGCTGGTTTAGTAGAAATGGCGGTGCAAAGCTAACAAGTAAATGCTAATCTTATTGCATATATTTTATATCTAAACTATGTTGAGAAAGGGAAATCAGCTGAGAAGTGGAGCTTGGATGGGGAATCTTTGAGATTTGAGGAGAGAAGAGGAGGTATAAGAAATTTGTTTCAAACAGTAAGAATTCTGTCAGAGAATAGCTGTAGTATTGTCTGGTAGTGGTGAATTCTCCTGTAAGACTTTGACAATATACTTGAGGGGTGTACCATGGACAACGTGATAAAATTTTATCCATTTAGCTGCTGCTCCTGATAAGATACAGAGTAAGACGAGGAATGAGTTTAATCAGGGTTGGGGATTTGCCAGGAGAATAAAATAAAGGAAATTGGGGACACTATGGATGGAAGGGAAATCCTGGTGGCGTGGTGGTTAAATGCTATGGCTGCTAACCAAAATGTTGGCAGTTCAAATCCACCAGGCGCTCCTCGGAAGCTCTATAGGGCAGTTCTACTCTGTCCTATAGGGTCGCTATGAGTTGGAATTGACTCGACAGCAATGGTTTTTTTTTTTTTGTTTGTTTGTTTTCCATGGATGGAAGAAATTTTTAAAATGTTAGGAGTGGGAAGTAATAGCTATTAAAAACAATCATACAGTCAATGGATTTGCAGTCTCAACAAGGCGGAACAACTGTTAAGATAGGAACATTAGAGTAAGTGCACTGAAAAATAGGATATGATGGTCAAAGAGTGTGAAATAAAAATTTTAGAGGTGTAGAGAAATTGATAGTAACAAGATCTAGCTTATGACCATATGAGGGAATAGCTGAAATGGGAGTGGAAAAAAATACCACTGACATTACCAAAAAAAACAAAAACAAAAACAAACCCATTGCCATCGTGTCGATTCTGACCCATAGCGACCCTAGAGGACAGAATAGAACTGCCCCATAGGACTTCCAAGTAGTGGCTGGTGGATTTGAACTGCCGACCTTTTGGTTAGCAGCTGAGCTCTTAACCACTCCGCCACCAGAGCTCCATCGTTGATACTAAGGAGATGAAAAACCTGAGAGGTTAAGGTGTTGACTACCGTTGACTGATCTGGCTGCATTTTTCTGGCACTTTGACTCTTTCCAGTTCCGTTTACACGGTTGTTGCGGTAGGAGCTAGCTGATAGGTGGCTAACTCTCTTGATCAAACAGAAATTCTGCTTAATTATTCAGTCTAGTCAGTCATCATTCATTGATGGGTCAGAAATACCTGGAAGAAATTGATCTATAAACACCTGAACTACTTCATTCACTCTGGATAAATCTAAGTAACTACCACAGGTGCCTCAAGCGTCCCTCAGAAGATTTCAAGTTACCCACTCACTGAAGTTATAACATGAGTTTTTAGTTAAGTCTATATGCAGATTTTCTGCTCAGGCCACAACAAAGGGTCCCAAAGTGACCAATAAAACACTCAATAGATTACTTGGAGACCTTGCATATTTCTGTGTGAACTGGAGAAAATACATGTAAAATACTCAGAAAAGTGTCTGTCAAAAAGTAGGTAAGGAATTAACAATAATTATTGTTATTGATAAATCTCCTTACTTTTGAAGCTTACTGTCGTGTGCATCTGTTGATTTAGCCTGGCTAGAATTCGTTTGAAGTCCCTGGTTGGTACAAGCAGTTAATGTGTTTGGCTGCTAACTGAAAGATTGGCGTTCTAGCCCACCCAGAGGCACCTGGGAAGAAAGGCCTGGTGAAAAATCAGCCACTGAGGCCTCTATGGAGCACAGTTCTACTCTGATACACATGAAGTCGTCATGAGCTGGAGTCAAATGGATGACAATTGGTAAACACAATATTACTTATGGATTTTTAGATGATATAAACCAATAAATTCATTTTAATTTAAGCCCATCTGAGCTGAGTTCTGTCACCTACAACCGAAAGTGCGCTGGCTAATATACTTGCTCAAAGCAATCCTCTGAGTATAACGGGTCTTTCTTTTTCTCCACATGAACTGTAAAAATCCTTTGGAGTTTCCCACCTCTATTCTATCAGCTATTCTTATACATTCTCTTTTTCCTCACTTCTTGCCTTTTCAGTGTTCTTTTAACTTGCGTTTTTGCCTTCCTGTCTACCTCTTAAAATCTTAACTATCCCTCATAACTATATTTCAAACATCACCTCTTCCTAAAGCATTTCCAACAATTCTCAGTTTAGCACAGTTACTCCTTCAGTCAAGCTTCAGATCAACTCTGGCATTTAAAATATACACATTTACTCTACTAAATTTTAATATAAAAACTACCTCTGAGATAAATGCGTTTAACTATTCCCGTAAGACAGAAGAAGAAAGCAAAGCTAAGAGAGGTTAAGTGACTTGTACAATGTCTCAATGTCTAGATTGTTGTTGTTAGTTGCCATCAAGTTGCCCCCAAGTCCTGGCAAACCCCCACACAACGGAACTAGATGCTACCCGATCCTGCACCATTCCCATGATTGGTTGTGGATTGGACCGTTGTAATCCATAGGGTTTTTGTTGGCTGATTTTAGGAAGTAGATCACCAGGGCTTTCTTCCTAGTCTGTCTTAGTCTGCAAACCCTTAAGTAAATATGTTCGGCATCATTGCTATTGACGTTGTTGTTGTTAGATGCCGTCAAGTCAGTTCTGACTTATAGTAACCTTATGTACAACAGAACTTAACACTGCCCGATCCTGCACCATCCTTACAACCATTGCTATCCTTGAGCCCATCGTTGCAGCCACTGTGTCAATACATCTCACTGAGGGTCTTCCTCTCTTTCTACTTTACCTTACCTAGCAACACACAATCCACAACTGACGGTGGTGGCTGCACATGAATTGTAATGTCTGAGAATCGAACCCAGGTCTCCTGCACGGAAGGCGAGAATTCTATCACTGAAGTACTACTGACTCACAATGTCTAGATTGGAACCTAGACCAAAGTCCAAGCTCTTTTTCTCCCTGCCTCTCCAGTCCACCTCATTGCACTGCTCCACTATACTGTCAATTTTTGGCACATGAATTGTCTGTCATTCAACTTTTAGTCTCACATGCTGTTGTTGTTAGTTGGCACCAAGTTTATGCTTTGCACATATGTATTCAATACATATTTGGTTAATCGAATTTCTTGGTTTTATACGTAGATTTACAATTATCACTTGTCTCTGACTGGTCAACAGAGGATATTTCTGTATATACATAGGAACAGGCCAGTTGTGTCTATCTTTTAAAAAGTACATTCTGTATATCAAAAGCAAATTCCTGACAGTCATTACCACCAATCTGTACTGAGTAAGCCATTTTACACAACTTCTGCAAAACCAGATAATTTGACAAACAGAATGTTTCAAGATATAATTTAAATGATGTAAGTACCACATACGTGCAAGAGAAGATTGCAGGAAATTAATATCATTTCCTCAAATCCAGAAGTTGAATAATGGTTAAGAAAATAGCATCCTCATGCTGTGAAATTAGACAGGGAAAAATTAGTATCAATATGTATTTGTCTAGAGTATTAGACAGTTTTCATGTAACTATGCTACTTGAAATCTGAAGAGAGAAGAGGTAGAGAGGTCACTCTGTACTAAAAAAAAAAAAATCTGCAATAAAAACCAGGTTTTAAACCTCATTTGATTTTTGGCAGGTAATACTAGCATCAGTGCCTTATATGTGGCAATGTTGCACGCCAAAAAAAAAAAAAAGGAACATGAGGTACTTCTCTATTGATATTGTCTGTGTCTATTTGGGAATTAATTTTTGAAAAGGTGAGGTGCTTACTCCAGTTTTCTTTTAAGCCCTAGATTTAAAACACCATTAATATAACACAACTTATTAATTAATGGATGAACAGTATCCACAATATATACAATGGTCAGAGTATACTTTCTTTAAATGAAAATTTTAAAGTAAAAGTTCAAACATAATCTTTCATATTCTTTTTTCCTATTTTCGAGAAGGTCTTAAAATATATACAAAAAAAAAACAACAATAACCACTCAAAATGTGTAGAAAGAGCTCGCACACCCTTTACAGATAACATTTTTAGTGATTACCCAATAAGGAATGTGAAGGCAACAGCAATCCAATAGGAGATAAGATATCATCCCTACATTCCATATTATTCTAGGAAATTTGTTCTGATTTCAACACAGAAGTCTTTCTACATGCTTTAAAGTAGGGTGAGGCCTATTTTACCTTTTTCCATAGCATCTTTAAACTCTGCTTATTGACTCAGAAGTACATTTACATTTTTTGTTGTTGTAATCTTTTTCTTTCGTTTACAAGGTAGAGAACTTCTGACTCTGTTACTACCCAACCAGCCCAACTCATTGCCATCAAGTCGATTCCAACTCTTAGCCACTAGCAACTCTATAGAACAGAAAAGAACTGCCTCCAAAGGGTTTCCAAGGCTGTAATCTTTAGGGAATCAGACTGCCACATCTTTCTCCCACAGAGAGGCTGGTGAGTTCAAACACCGACCTTCCAGTTAGCGGCCAAGCACTTAACCACTACACCACCAGGGCTCTTTAATAGTTATTAGTCGTGGTGAAATAGTCAAGATTTAGTCACAATCTTATGAAGATGTCTGATCACATGTTGTGCTTCAAACAGGAAATCTGAAGATTAAATCACTCATAGAAAATGCTATAACAGATTAGATATATAATCAGATGGATGTATATAGAGATGGATAGAGACATCATCTTCCTCAGTAACATTATATAATGATTTTCTGCATAAAAATATTTTCTAATATTAATCTATTTCTAGATTAATGTTAATCTTCATGATATTATTGATAAAAATATTAATGAAATAAAAATATAATAATAAAAATGTTTATCTAAATTAATAAAATATTAATTTCTAATATCTTGTGTCTGTTTCAAAAGTACAGAAGAAAACAATGTTTACTAATCAAGTCAAATTTCTTTTTTTAATCTTCTGAGGCTATTATCAGTCCTATTGAGCTCCACAGGTCTGGAAACACTTACTGTTCTTTGAATTAGCATAGGAGAGTCTGTTCCTTCCTCTTTAAAACTTGATTCCATACCGATTATATTCTCAATAACGTCTTCCATCTAGCAAAATATAAAACATTTTAAAAACAGTGTATGATGATAAAAGTTGTGCTTCAGCCTGATTTCAGATAGGAAAATGTTAGCAAACTTAACATTTTTTTAGAATATTTAAATTGAGGCTATAGCTATATTAAAACCCATAATATTTTAAAACTGAAAACAAGGTAACTC